TAACAATTAACTTAACAATAAAAAATTAAAAATTAATAATTAACAATTAATAATTAAAAATTAATAATTAATAATTATTATTTAATAATTAATAATTAGTATTTAATAATTAATAATTAATTATTATTATTATTATTCAATAATTAGTTTTTGATAATATAATCTAATATATATAAATAAAGTAGGTATTTTTGGAGAGCATTGGGAGCGCCACATAAGAAAAGGTATATTTTTGACCAATTAAAAATTAGATTTCTATTTTATTTTAGAATTAAAAAAATTTGTAATCCCCCATATTTTCAATTTAATAATAATGTATTTATTTAGTATTTATTTTACAAATACTTTTATATTTTTCTTATTTTATAGGTATGAATTTTATTTGAGGTAAAGTATTAAGATTTTAATTATTTTCAAACTAAAACTACTAAGTTGTGATTAGCCCAAACACTTAATTCCTCTTATTCAAGCCTAAAGTGCAAGTTCCTACTCCTAATTCTACTTGGGTTAGAAATTTAGGCCCAACCTTTAAAAAAAAAAAAAAAAAAAAAAAAAACCCACCTTAATCCCCCTACTCCTCTTTCACGTGGGATTAAAGAAAAAAAAAAAAGGAAAACCCTCACTCTCTTCATCCTCCCTCTTCACGATATTCAGCAAGAAGAGAAAAAAAAAACACACACACACACAAACCCCAGCACCGCCGCGCCGCCCAGCAGTCGCCGCCCCTCTGACCGTCGCGCCGCCCAGCAGCCGACCTCCCTCCCTGCAGTTCGCCTTCCTCCCTTCTCCTTCCCCCTATTTCTCTTCCTTTATTCTTGTTATTTTGATTTAAAGATTCAATTTTTATTTGATTTCAATTATAAAATTATTGTTATTAGGCTTTAATAGTATGTATAAATTACAAAAGATTATAAATTTATGGGTTTTAACATGTTTAAATTATTATATTAATTTTCAGATTTGGGTATGTATGAATTTAGGGTTTAAAGTGTTGATTTTTCATTTTTTAAGGCTTAATAACGTACTAAACAAATTACTTAATTATTCTATGTTCAAAGTATGTCAAAGTATGATTATTTTGGTTGTATATTAATTTTCAGATTTTTTTAAAGTTTCAATTTTTATGAACAAGTAGTGTTAATTTCATGTTTTTATGCTTCTAAACCTATAAAATAATTATAGTGAGTATTTTGTGATTGAAAAAGCTTTGAACTTGATATTCTAATTTTAAAAATAATTTTCAGATTTCATACCATTTATTTTGAAGCCTCTAATTGCATTGAATTGATATATTCTTGGGTTTTTAACACACTAACTTGCTATATAATGACTATTTCAAGTAATTATGCTTATGAGGTTATTTTATATATTTAAAACAAAATTCCAGATTTATTTACCCACTTTAAAGTTGCTGTAATTTGATATAAAACACTATATTTTCATAATTCTAACATGTAAACTTAAAGTTAGGATGTTATATTAGTAACTTTGATTTTTGGGGACAATCTAAAGACTTTATTTTGGTGATTTAAGAGGTTTTAAAGTAGTTTAGTATTGCTGTAATTTTAATTGCTTTAGTATTGATTTATTCCTAATTGTTTGGTTTAGGAGAGGACTTTGTAGAAGGCGACTTTTAGTTTTAAAGTGGCCAACCGGATTGTTTACACAAGGTACGTACAAGATACGAAACCTTGCTTGTAGGTGCATGTTTAAGGACGGATCGAGAACTTAGTATCATGTATAGGATTGACTGGGTTAAATTGTCTAGTTATACATTGTGAATTTCAAATGATGTGCACTAGTTTATAATGCAAGTATTATTTGTGCTTTGTTTATGCAAGGTACGCTTAAAGGCAAAGGTATGTGATTGGTGTAAAGATCAAATTATTATTCGTTCAGGATTATGTAAACAGGATGAGTAAAGGAGAAATTCAAGTCTTGTAAGACGAGGTTAAGGTTTTGGGGTGCCTTATGCACTCAAGGTGTTTATACACCGAGGTAGTAATGGAATAATTAATAAATGTTGTTTGTCACTAATAAATTAAGAATCTAAATTGAGAATTTGCCATGTTTGATTGAATTGCTTTTGGGATGTTTGTATTGATATCTATAAGAGTCATCACTGAGTCTAAACCTGTAAATCACGTAAAGTGCAAGATGGATGAGCAATAAAACTCTGCAATGGTGCACATCTGGAGTAATGACAATCAGGAGTTGGGGTACATGGGGTATTAGCCGTGTACTTTTATCGAGGTCGTCTGATCTACGAGTCTCTTCTTTCAAATATTATTTTTCTAAAACTAGGAGTTAGGTGAGATCTCATACTAACTACGGTCACGGAGTCGCGCCGTGGTCGTTGGATGTTTATTGATGTTTCCGAAAAGAGGCATGGGGTTTTTTCTTTATTGATGTTCCAAATGGGACATGGGTTGGACAACCTTGTCTATTGCTAAATCCAATGAAATAAATAAACGAGTCAGTTAATATTAATTAGTGAGGTCTTAATAAATTTGTTAATCGAGTCGTGAATTGAGTCTATATTTAATGATGCTTGTGCTTGAATATTAGTAGCATGTTAGGTATTTTCTCAATTTGCTTTCGCAGCTTGTATGTACTCAGCTTTGCTGACTGCGTGCTTTTGTGTGTGTCTTTCTTTGGTCATGGCCTTCGCCTTTCAATGACCCTATGACGATCCAATTTTTACACTTGTAATATTGGGGAACAGAATAACCACAGGTTCTTACACATGCAGCATTCATCGGGGTTATGGGATGTTGAGTAGAGAGTTGATTGTTTCCATATTATTTATTTTGCAAAGTTTGAATTTATTTTAATTCATTTTTAGTTGACACTAATTCTTTTGAGGTTGAAATTATTGGAACTCTGAATTTAATCATTTACTACTTTTCTTGGGTTTTGAATAAGGGCCTTAATGGTTCCAACTTGTAATACTTATTTTGATTTAATTCCTTTGTTTTGAGGTTTATTTAAAACTGTTTTGGTTTTCCGCTGCTAATTTCTGAGATAGCCTTAAGGTTTGAACACGTAGCGGTAGCACACTAGTAATTCTCTTGAAATTGTTCAGGCTATATACAGGTTTCTCACAAGTTTTTCAGAGAGAATTATTGGGGTGTTACAAAATTACTCGCCACCTAAACAAAAGTAACGAATGAAATTTTAATTTTTTGCCACGTAGGTAAAAACGACGAATAATAATTTATTAGATTTTAATTATTTAAGAACACTAAATTTTAAAAATTATCTTTATATATTAGGATTTATATTATTTAAAAAACTAAAAATTATATATTGATATTTAAAAAATATAAATTATCATTTGATGTTAATGGTTTTATGTAAATATCTGATAATATGATATTTTCATACAAAATTTTAAAACTTATAATGCAAGAAAAAAATTAAGAAATCACCAAATAAATATTTATATACAAAATATATATAAAAATTCGTGCATCGCACGACACATAAGTAAAAGTAATATTTCGACCAATGAAAAATTAGATTTATATATTAATTTAGAATTTTAATTTTTAATCACCATTTAAGGAAAAATAAACAAATGAAATTTGAGAATTGAAAACAAAAAATAGTAATTTAAGATTTAAATTATAAAAAAAAACCAAAAATAATCTTTTATATTATCTTTTACATAAGGATTTATATTATTTTAACAAATAATTAGAAATTAAAAAGTATATTTTGATTTAATGGTTTATCTAACTATCTGATGAATGAGATAATATTTATTTTAATTTATAAATTCAAGTTCTATATATGTTAAATTTGAATAAGAATAATTTAAAACTTAACAAAATATTTTACCTTAAAATAATGTTAAAATAATAGAATAGAAAATAAAAAAAAATATTAAGAAATTACAAAAAAAATATACAAAATGAAATATTTAAAATCCGTGCATCGCATGTGTTGGGCAATCTGGGGGACTGCAAAACAGGGGTCTGTTTGAGCAGCAGTGGGACTATCTGAGTGAGGTTTGGTTGTGTGTGAAAAAACTTATGGGTGAGATGGAATCAGTTAAGCCAATCCCTAAGGTGAGTGGGGCCCTTAGCAGCCATGACAGGTGGATTCCACCTGGGGGAGGGCGCATTAAACTGAACGTGGATGTTAGTTTGCTAGGCGTGGCTGTAATTTAAGATTTAAATTATGAAGAAAAAAAAATCATCTTTTATATTATCTTTTTTTTTTTGAAAGAATCTTTTATATTATCTTTTACATTAGGATTTATATTATTTTAACAAATAATTAGAAATTAAAAAATATATTTTGATTTAATGATTTTATCTAACTATCTGATGAATGAGATTATATTTATTTCAATTTATAAATTCAAATTCTATATACGTAAAATTTGAATAAGAACAATTTAAAAATTAACAAAATATTTTACCTTAAATTAATGTTAAAATAATAGAATAAAAAATAAAAACAAAAAATATTAAGAAATTACAAAAAATATTAAGAAATTACAAAATGAAATATTTAAAAATTGTGCATCACACGGGCTTACATCTAGTTAATTAAAATGGAGTAATATTAGTAAATTATAGTATATTACTATTGATAATTATCAATGTATACCTTATATACAATTATTATTAATTAATAACCAATAATTAATTTGAATTATAACTAATTATTATAAAATTATTGTAAACTTATTGTAAATAATTAATAATTAATTTACAATTACTATTACCAATAATTTATTATTTTAATTGATATTAAAGTACTATATTAGTTCATTAGTGTTGATATTGTTTAACAACAGCTAGCACCCAACCGCCAATTTACCAAACACTACAACTTTAGTCAAACAACCAACTTTAGTCAAACAGGCAGTCATCAACATAAACTATCAAGTGTATTTTATGCTATAAATATAACCATTACTCTTCAAATAATCATTACTTGAATTATAATTCTCCTCTCGTATTAAAATCCTATTGTCTGTGGACCTCTTTAAATCAATATTCTTGTTCATAATAACCCTTATAATTTAAGTACAATTATTGACACCCTCTCTTAGATAAATTAATATTCTTACAAATTTTGTCCAAAACAATTACTGCGTAGACATTTCAAACTTTCACAGCAAAGACCCATTTCAAAATTTCAACAAATTTGAATACACCAAGCAAAGCTCGTTGTAGTAACTACAGATCACTTACAACCACCGTCTAATATAGAAACATATCAAAAATACTCGAGGTTGAGGACTTAGTTCCTGCTTTTTAACCTCGTATGTCAAGTACATTTCCCTACCTAACAGACATTTTTAGCCTCGTATGTCAAGTACATTTCCCTACCTAACAGACATGTTGCCCCTTGTATATGCGTTATTGAGCACCAGACTCACTCGTACAAATCTTAGTCCCACTTAGTATATATCCACCAAATGCACTCATCTGCATATGAGGATGAGTTCTTGATGGAAGTACCTGCGTCATGTCGACAATTGATTTCATTAAGTACTGCTGATACATCCATTAAGATATACTTAGTATAGAACACTTGTTTTTTCCTCCCTCTATACTAATAATTTTATTTTTTTACAAGCCCTCTACCATAATATTAAGGAAATTTTGTCAAAAACTACCAATTAAAGTGCGTGTTTTGAAAACAACTACCTATTAAAAAAAAAATTAAAAAAACTATCATAAAGTTGCAAAAAGTTTAAGTAGCACTACCACTTTAATAATTCCAACTAGAATATTAACTAAATTACCCTTCATAAAGGTAAAAAGTGAGACCCAAATACCGGAGATTTTAGCCAAAATTGTTAAAGTGGTAGTGCTAGTTAAACTTTTTATATCTTTGTGGTAGTTCTTTTTTTAAAAAAAATTAATAGATAGTTGTTTTCAAAACACGTGCTTTAATTGGTAATTATTGACAAAATTTCCTAATATTAATTACATACGGAAAACACCATTTCCCCAAAGAGTGTTATCCAATCCTTTTTATTTTATTTTTTTGACGTGATCTAATTACATGTTTCAATCCAGAAAAAGAAACTAATTCAGAACAGGAAGATAACCTGATATTCTCGGAGCCAAGGTTCTGAAATTTGTAATCCAATTGCTAGTTTCTCACTTTGTAAATTGTGCATGCATTCTGCAAGTGGCTGCATCCAGAAATGAAACGTGTGATTTTTTTTTTGCCATGCAACAATGTTCCATGCAAGTGCAAAGCTTTACTAAATACATAGTATAAATTTGCAAATAATTGAATTGACAAAAGAGGAAAAACTATCTACAGGATAATATTGCAATCTAAATCATGTACAAAACTATTTGTATGAGCAAATGATTCATGCTTTTAACAATGAAAGCTATTCAGAATCTATGATATCATATTCAATATGTGCAATGGACATTACATCACATTCATTACATAAATATACAAATTTACCTTGACTTAAAGAGACTAATAAATAGACATTCGAATAGCTAAGCTTATTCTCATGATACATGAAAACTTTGCAAGAAGAAATTAGAGAGTTTCGAGATTCAAAAAAGACTTTTAAGATAACACAAGTCATAAGTTCTCATTATAATAGTACCCAATGCTCCAGAAACAAAGCTTTTAATTTATTTAAAGATCAAAACCTGTTTCCTTAAACAAGGCTTTGGTGCCTTCAGTGTATAAACTTTTAAGTAGCTCCTAAGTCTTCACGTGTTAAGGTTATAGCTGACTTCAACGCTGACCACATCAGGGATGTAAGATATGTTTACAGATGCAACAATTCTACCAGTTCCACGGAATACTTATAAAAAATCTTTATTATGACATAATTAGAAGCATTTACAACAGAGAGCATGTTACTTCGATTTGTATTGCCTTATTTGTCCGGGCAACTCACTGACTAGATCCGCTTTGGACGTCTCCATTGAAACTCAATAAGATATAGCGGTTCCCTTTTCTATTAAGTGTTAACCATTGCTGAAACTTTTTCAACTTTTTGAAGTGCATAAACACTGAGCAAATATTATGTCACATCAACCATTTTCATTCATCCACATATGTATGCATCTAAAAGGGAATCAAATTCTTCCACATGCTTAAACCAGTGGCTCAAAGATACTGACAAATATTTTTTACCATATGAAATTCTTTTAAAAAAATTTCTCTTTGCATTCTATCCAAATTCAGATATAGAATATGTATTGCAACTACTCCAAGTATGAACATGACCTTTCCAAAAGAAAAAATGGGGAAGCAGATCTCATCTCATCAATATGCATATATAGCGGAGTCATAGAATGCACATGCAACAGTAAGAATATATGTGCAACATGAGACATAAGATTTAATTGCAGGAGACCTGGAGATATTGGTGATAAATTGCAAAAGAGGCCGAGTATGATAAATGAGGTAGTAGCTTTTGCAATATGCCCCATACATCCTGCTCAGGTGCTGCAATTATTAAGCTGCAAAGATCCAAATACAGATATGTAAATTCCTTATGTTTTAAATGACAAAATAATGACTAGGAGCAGTGTTAAAGTACCTAGAAAAACCCTTTTCTTTCCATGAATCAATAAGCTCTTCTGAAGCCACTTCTCCTGCTTTTATTGCTTTGCAAGTTGTGGGATCCCGTTTACCAGTTTTGTTGGAAGTGTCGACTGATGTCTTATTTTCCTCCAGGGAAACATCTTCTTCAGTAACATCTAGTTGATTCCCTGAATCACTTGCCTGCAGATAAAAGGTAATAGATTAGTAAAGAATATATGCAGCTGGAAATAATGCTCTTGGCTTCTGAGCAGAAAAAACTACCATGTTCTCGTTTTGTACGTGGCTTCCATTTTGACCGGGGCATAGATCATTGAGACAACAACGAACAATTCTGAATGTACATGGAATTTAATAAGGTTCAAAGTACTAGAAATGTGCGCATTAATATTACTTCTCAGTCACCCAGCAGAAGTACAACAAATATTTTGATAAAGAAATAGCAGGTGTCAAACCAATTGCAATTTATTATCAAAAAATATAAGAACTATTACCGTTTGCAGGTGTCATTATTGAAATTGAAGATCCTAACTATTTCCAAGGAATGTGGTGTGACACCCAGATGCATGTTGCAAACATACCCAGTACCTGGCCAAAAAGATACACTTTAAGTAACAGCCAACTTACATGATAAGAAACACATATTTTCTTTCCCTTATAAATCCTTCTCCATAGTATAGATGTCGATTAATATATTTCAAGTGACATTTTCTCATTGTGTGCTATTAATGTAGCCAAGAGAACAACATATCTACAATAACATCTCCAGAAAATCTTCACAGCAAAGATGATTTATAAAGGGTTCTTGGGTAGATAAAAGGAGACATGAAATAAAATTTGAAAATAGAACCAAACAATTCACTCCTTATATCCCTACATGATCCATACAAACTCCTTTTTTGATTGACAGGTTATAAATATATTAAAAATAAAAACCTTCACACTTCTACCTTCTACAGTTCGTCAAGTGAACTTTTCCTTCTCTCTTTATCAAATCAACCCTTATCTCTCAAACAAGACACTTTCTCTTAACTTTATCTGTTCACTAAGCACTGCCAAAATATTTATTCTCATTTAAAGCTATCCTACCAAACTCGTATGTGAAAATCATTTCCACAAAGGATTAAGAGCTCTGTAATCTAGCACAAAGCAAGGATTAATTTACTCAAAACATAATTATTTCCACAAAAGATTAAGAAGATGAAACAAAAAGGTCAAAAAGCCCCACTCTTTAAGCCCAAGGATCAAATTTTCAATTCATGATCCAAACTTCTATAGAGATTGAACTAGCCTCTTTTTTTTTTATGCGTAGGCTTTATAAAGCAAAAATAAACCCTAATAAACATTTAAGGCCACTTGAAAATCTTCTTTATTCACAAATAGATTAACTAAGATGATCCAATAAATCATCAAAATAATCATACTAAAATCGAATCATTACCAAGTATAAATGGAGATGCTCTAATCCAATTTAAGCTCATTTATAAAGTGATGCTCATGCATCAGTTTAGAAATGGTTCGCAGGCAATCACTTAGTTATTCGGATAGGTGGTTTACTAAAACCAAAGAAAATGGGAGCTTTAATGTGCAACTAATAGACAAATGAGAGCCTCAAATGCTATGCTTTCAATAAAAAGATTCCCTTTCTCAATAAGCAATAAATTAATGTACACATGTTCTCTCTCAGTCCCATACAGCATGAGTTTTTTTTTTATCCCTATGAACCAACAAGCAAAAGGTTTACTGCAACCAGGAAATACAGTAAGAGTTGTATTTATATAGTTTAGTGGTAAGTTTAACCATTAAAATCCATTCATAGGCAAAGCAAATAATCAAGGCACATACATCCTCTCACACTGCTTAATAAGCATCTGGTACAACTTTTCTGGCAAATCATGGAATATTATTAAAATATAGCAGCGGTGCTTAGCTTTCATTCTACAAGGTAACACAAAGGCTGCAGAGTCAATCTATTCTAAGAAAGTGTAGATACCACCTTATTACTTTATCCAAACTGATGTGATAGTATCTTATGCCATCTTCTTGTAGACTGAACTCTATATGGGCTCCATTGCCCTAGCAATACTAAGGCCATAAAAAGTCAATGTATACTTGGAATCCAGAAATATGTTTTGAACTTTTGCGCAAGTGGATGAAAGATTGCAAAACAAAGAATTCTAGTTAAGCATGTCCCCAGAGACGAGATAATTTCAACTTTACAAGAAACAAGGGTGACTAAGCAATCTGCATGAAGGAGCCATCCTGCCTAGAAAAGGGGAGATAGGTACAACATCATCCCACCATTTCCAAACTCTAATCGCCCTGATAACCAGAGGAGAGCTAGAAGGGAAAGAAAAAAAATGTCCTCAAGATGATGAACCATTCATCTAAAGACTTAAGAAAGGACAAATGATACTTAATAATGAATTGCATGGCTCCCAGTAGGCCAGTACACAGAAGCCTCAAAACAAGAGGCTTCAAAAACCTGAGAGGATTTGGATGAGTACCACTCATTGGCTCATTAAAATGGCATCTACTTCCATGCTCAAGGAAATAGGATAGGGACAAAACGTGACAATGTGCAAAACAAAACATCCATAAAATACAGAAGAAATACAGAGTGGAACGCATTTTACAATCAGAGCAAGTACCTCCTAAACGTTCTGCCACAGCACCAGTAACAATCCCACCAACCATATCTACCACCAAGACATCTGAGTGCGCAGTAACATTGGCCATTGAAAGTAGAAGAGCTAGAGAATCTGATCGTAAGCAACTGTAAATATGAGACAGGATGAGTTAATCTGAAAGATACCTCTTAACTCAAAAGACAAGATAACATAGAGGAGCCTGGATATATAATAATAAATAAATAAATAAATAAATAAAATTAATAATAAAATACTTTAAGTGACAAGTCCTAAACTATAACAAGCAACAAGTCCGTTGCATTTTCTGCTCTACTGCTACATGTCTCCCCCAAGGCCACTATACTGTTAGCCATGCTATGCATAAATTTTGACCATTAGCTTGAAAATCCTTTATTGCCTTCCATGATTCAGTACTATGATTTCAAATAATATCCAACTCAAACACTGCCCAGATTTGAAGTCATAAACAAAATAATGAACTATATTACAGTAAGGTTAATGCCAAGAACCAAACTAACAAGATGTTTTGAATTCTCATCTGAAGCATCAAAATAAAAATTTAAGTGTACGGATGTTTTTTCTTTTTTTTAAAATCCAGTAATTTTTTCAATTAAGCATAATTAGAAGTAACAGCTTCAGGGGCTTCCAAGATTATTCCTTATCTAAATACCTTATATTGATGCCAAAGGCACACAAATGTATAGGAAGAACTCAAAACCTAGCTCGTAAAATATTTCTAGTAACTCCTTATTTTTCTTTAATTAACCCCAATAAATTATAAATTTCACCCCAAATGTGGCTGCATATCCTTAACATTTGCTTGCAATTAATAGTAATTCTCTATTATACTTTACAGCAACATTTGTGTGTACTACACTTTAGTTCAACAATTAGTTCAAATACTGCATTAATGATCATATAATGAATAGCTCAGAAGTTTAATGAAATCATTTCTGATTCATTGTGCATAGAAAAAATTAACAGCTTTTGGTGGTGGTGGTAGAGGGGGGGGGGGGGAGGGGGGATTTAAACTGTTAACTTGATGGGGAAAAGGAAAAGCTAGTTTATCAATCCCAGTGCCAGGTTTGAAAGCTAAAGTGTTAGTGCACACCACTAATTAACACTACCACAATCACACCATCACAAATTTTATGTGATAAGTGACAAGCTCACTAGCTCAGCAAACAAAGAACGGGGTAAATCCAAGGGAAATGAGACATAAGAATGGAAGCAAAGGATACACAAGAAAAGAAAAGGATGCTGGTCTGCTGGATGAAATGATGAAAGTGAAGTAAGTCTTCAAATACCTCCTCATTCAAAGTAAGAGACAAGAGAATGGAAAAGATCAAAGATGAATGAATGAGTGAAAATATTATATTCAGTGGGGACCAAAGCTAGATAACTAGAGTATACTAAGTTCCTCATCAATATTTGTGTGCCCTTATCCATTTTTATATTTAAAAATAAGTAAAATAGTATAAAAATCATCTGTAGTAAGATGTATAAAACAAAGAGGACAAGTTGTTTGCTAAACTAAATTACACTTCTTAACCCAGTTTTCTAAACAACTCCGAATGGGTGATTCCTAGCTTTCTATCTGTAAGATGTTTTCCTAGCTTTTGTTACAGTTTCCAAGGCTTTAGATTCCATTATTATGTTTACATCAATCCAGTGTTCCCCTGGGAAACAGTGTAAATTCAAAGCTCTATTGGGAGCAAATCCAAAAGCTTCATATCAAGTGATGCTTCGCTTTAAGCATTTAATGCATATTAGTCGTTAAAACTTTACAAATATTGTGTCATCACACTTTTTTTAACACCCAAACTTACTAGACGCTATCAAGCCCCAATCATACGTACTCCATCACCAATAAATAGGAGTGCCCTCGAGACACCCGCTTGTGTTGCTTTGTTGCTCACAAGCCCTATTTCCACACAAAGCTTGCAACCTTCCCAACAAATAGGCAAGAGCGCACATCACGATCCGATGTCAAAGCACTTACACTTAAACTATAAAGAAGCTAAATAAGTGACTTGGTTTCATAATAATTAAAAAGATAAAGTGATCTCAACTCCTCTCTAGCCACCCACAGTCCCACACCACATGATTGCCATATAAGCATTGAGACATGACAGTTGCTTCTCCTTAAACTTACCAAACCCTTGAAATCTAAACCGTAGCCAGTACACAATCTCAAAAGGGATATCCAAGATTCCTTGGAATCCTGTCATGTCACAATGTAGAAATACATATGAACAAACTCACTAGCAGCTCGACAAAGGATACAAAAATATGGCTTACTAACCAAACAGCTTTTGAAATAAGTTCTTATTATTCATCCAGCTCGACAAATGATACAAAAATCCAGGTAACTAACCAAACAGCTTCTAAAGCAAGTCAATAGTATTAATCCTATCCAATGTCAATCCACACAAAGCCCTCACTTTAAGAAGAATGCTCACCTTCCCAATAGTTTGCTGCTGGAAAGCTAGAAACTAAGGGAGTTACGTCAAACAACAAAGAGATGATTTGAAAGTAAAACGCCCAAACAAGTCCCCTATCCACACCCTCTTTGATGCTTAAGCAATCTTTGTCAAGTCCGACGAGGTGTTGACCATCGCTGCTACCCAAGTTTCGAGTTAGGGTTTTCTTCAAATAGTGGACTTTGATATTTAGGGTTTTTCTCCCAAATTGGAGATTTCGATTTATGGTTGAAGTAAAGACAATTTATGCAATTAACCAAAGTACCTTGCCCAATAGCCTTGATTATTGTACTTCATAAGCCCACAAACATTTATTTTGAAAAGTTTGATTTTTCCAAAAATTCAAAAGAATACCACACAGCGTCAAAGGCGCTCTGCTTTACGCCATGAAAAAAGCGGCAAGAGCGAGGTTTCTAGAATGTATTGCGTCCGGGAAGGTGGATGCGCTATGGCTTGCGCCTTGGGCATGCCTTTTAAAACTATAATCTAGGAGTAAAAAACATTGAAAGCTTCTCAATATTCGGCCACGAAAATTTTGATAATCGTAAGGGAAAGAAATTTAATACATCATAATTCAGACCAAAGAAAGGATGCACAACACACAATTTGAGATGCACCATAAAAGATAGGATAGTAATACAGGTTTAACTGATAATGCTCCAGCAAGCACAAATTTATAATTGTCAGATGACTTATTAGCACATAGTAAAGCATGAAGTAAAAAATTGCTCATAATAAAACGAAAAGAAGGTAAAATAATGACATTACCCAATTCTTGCAGGATATTTCCTGAAGTATGCATCACATATGCTGAAAGCAGAGAACCAAGACAGAGTTAAAACTTGAATTGAAAGACCCAAAATTAACATCTCTGACAAATTGGAGTAGATCAAAGTAGCACAACTTTGATGCCTACCTTCGAACAAAAGGACGCCTAACAAGTACTTTGGGAGCATATTTTTTTTGCTTACGAAGCCTGTACTTCTCCTGCAATTGACAAATAATCAACACGCTAATCTTGGGAAACATTTTTCTATTATAACTTTGATATTCATAAAAGAACCTGTGAGAAAGATGTCTTATTCTCAAAAGTTGTGCTATTGGCAATTAAAGCTTCTACAATCTGTTCACCTGTTGCACCTTGTCTGTACAAGATCAATGGTTTTACAGACATCATCAGCATAAACAAAACTTAAGAAGAATTACTGCTAGAACTAGAAACTATATTGGAAGTCTATAACATATAAAGGTAGCAATTAGCATATTAAAGTTGTTTGCTGGAATAAACCAATAAGGGGCTGTTTGGTTAGGAGAAATCAAGAGAGTAAAAGGCTCTTATTTTTTCTAATTAACTGATGGCTTTTTGTATTTTAACATCTCCCTCCTCCAAAGCATTCTACTCCAAGTCTATCCCCCTCCCCCCCCACAAAACCCTCAAACTCCTCAACGCCATCACCCTAGTTGACCATCACCCTTGAGTCCTTGACTAGCTGCCAACAGCCACATCACCACCCCCACACCCACCTCATGATCAGCCATAATGAAAGTTCCGTCATCAACCACACTTGCATCTAACAACCAGCTACCAAAATCTAATCCCAATATCCTACACCCATTCTATTAAAACTTGGCCGCCTCACAACCACATCAGAGATTTATAAGCATTCCCACAACCACCAGCGCAATGTTTCAATGTGACAAAGGGAAGATAATACAGAGAGAAGTTGGAGCATTTATGTCTGAATTTGACCGCATAAACGTTCATCAATGGAGGTAAAGCTTAGAACTTGACATTTCTTCTCTCTCTATATTATCTTGCTCTCTTCAAACTTAGTGATTGTAGAGAGAAATTTCATCCTTTTTGTTTGTTTATTTCTTTTTTTTCCTCATAAACAAAAACCAAAAATATTATCTTGGAAGGTGAAAATATTTTCTAAAAATTGAAGCTTGATGATTAAATATTAGTGGTGGTGAATATGGAGGATGAAGATGAAAGTAATGGCGGTTGAAGAGGAATAAACATGGTTGCTTTTGCTTTTGCTTTTGCTTTTGATAAACAAGTTATCGCCAATCCATCAAATACTTCCTCTTGTATGTGTATGATTGCTGACAGCTCACTCATGTTAAAACTTAAAAACACCCATATCCAGAAACCATCTTAAAGATCAAACAAGAAAGAACAGTGAGGTTCGCTACTAAAATCAAATTGTCTCAGGTTAGAGAAAAGCGAAATCATCTAACCTTCGCATTTCATCTATGTCCTCTCCAGTAAGACTTTGAGCAGTATTGTTATCAACTAGAGCTCTATTATCTCTCAATTCTTCACCTGTCACATTTTCTTCCTCTTGAACATTATTACCTGGAATGAGAAGAAGAAAAGAAACAAAAGATATTATCTAGTGCAAGATTAGCAGATACGACTCATACAAGCTCCAAACCTATAAAAGAAGCTCTTTGGTTGAATGCAAATCAAGCACACTAAATGACATCACTGAGGTCTAAGATCTCACAAGAACAACATTCAAATTTATTTAGCATAATCATTCATTTTCCGACAACAAGACCCAAATCCCAGTGTCATGGACTCACGGTACAGTCAAACAACCACGAAGACAACAATGAATTCAACAATTTACATACAAACACAAGCCGCAATTAGTGTTACAAATATTTCACTTTTTGATATTTTGATCAGAAAAGGCAATAAATATTTCACTAACAATCTTTCAAAGTCCTAAATTGACTAGAACTTCAAAAGCTATTAGTCACCATTATCCTAATTGAGGTTACAATGATGCTATACACCATGTAATTTTTGTAACAAATATACACACATCAGTTTCAGCACACAACTAAATAAAAAATTTTAAGACCATTCAAACAAATATATTAATGAAAAAACAACAGCATTAGAGCAAAGAAAAGACACCTCCTTCCTCTTCTGAAGGTACAACACGAGATAAATACGGCCCGTCTTTCCCATTATCAACACGAAACGACGAACCAAACGGGCAACCAACAATAGGCTGCAATGAAAAATTCTTCTTGCCAATCTTCAAAGTCCTGCAAAATAACAAAATCATTCAAATTCAATGCATCAAAGTAGAGAAATCGATTCAATGAATAACCATAAGACTTACGCAGCAGGAGAAAGGCGGGCGAAAACAAGGCGTTCACCATCATTAATATCAAGCAAAACACTGCAACCTTCCCATGTCAATCTTGAGGTTTGATTTGATTCTCCCATTATAATTGAATAAGCTTGATTATGCTGTGATTTTGACAATGATTATTTAATGGATGCAAAATTAGGGATTTGTGTTTCAAATATTACAAGAGAGATTATGAATTAGAAATGTATGATTGTGTAATGTTTGAGATATGGAGGCTAAACCTTTGGTGTGTACGGCAAGGAGAGAGGGAATGGTGCGGCGGGTGATGGTGGCGGTGGTGGTGGTGGTGGGCGGCGACAATGGCTGTGGTGGGCGGCTGAGTGGTGAAATGGTGATGGCACGGCGAGGTAGAAGGGAAGGCGAAAGCGGGGCAGGTTGAGTGAGAAGAGAGTAGGAGATTGAGGTTTAACTGTTTTGGGGTTTTCAGAAATTTAAGGTTTATGGCTATATTCGGCAAAATTAGTTGTTGTACTTGAATGTTACTTAGGACTCTTAGGAAAACCTCAAAATTTATAGAAATTGTTTTATATACCCAGGTATACGGTGTATGTAAGAGTATTTATTGCTCATTTTGATGATTTTTACTCATTTTATCATCAAATGAGCAAACATATATCATTAGGTGTACCGTACACTCGGGTGTATATAACAATCTCTCAAGAAGTTATGAGTGGTTAACTTTACCTTATTTTTGCTCAATTAAATTATTTTTAATTAACTTGAATTATTTTTAATAAATTTAAATGATTTTTAATAAACTTCTCATTAAAAAAAATAAACTTAATATATTTTTACTCAATTAAAATTAACTTATTACACTAAAATAAATTTATTTCCTATTATATTTCTTCTTTAAAGTTCCCGATTTTTATTGAATTTGTAATTTCTTTTTCTAACTAAGGGTCTGTTCACTTTAGTTTAATTTCGATTCAGTTCAGTTCCTAATTTCTTTCTCTCAGTTTAGTTCAATTTAGCTCAATTTAATTCATTTCAGTTCAGTTCAGCTCTGCTCTGATCAGTTCAGTTCAGTTCTGATTAGTTCAGCAAATATGAAGAGGCCCTAAATTTATCTTTAGTGCATTGTCAAACCAAAATACCCAACAAGCCTTAGCTCCCCTTGGAAAGAGGTGATCCAGCCGCACCTTTCAGCATGGCTAGGATTTGACCCTCCTATTCCAGTTGAGGATAACAAGACATTCGATAGGGAGATTCTGAAATTGTGGAGTTTTCTACACGGTATTTAAATGAAATACAGTACTACTAAGGTTATGTTCTTTTCCCCTTAAAAATACTAAACTAAAATTAGATTTACTAAATTGAATTTAATTTGTTTTTCAGCTGGATTCGGGCTTAGCTTGGCATAAAACAACCGACGATTGAGCAAGAGAGTCTGAATCAGCAATAGACTATTTGTTGAGGCGTCAGCAAGCAATTCAACACATTTTCTTCGATCTTTTTTTTTTTTTGTGGTGATGTGAAGTTGTGAACCCCCTCGAGGGTGGCCGAAATAAACTAAATTGAAATTATTTTTAATTGAACTAAAATTATTTTACTAAATTTTATTTCAAAGTTGAAAAGAATTAGCAAATGAGTACTTTAAATGTTTTATTTTTGGCATTTTTTCCAAAAATATTGGTACTTATAGCTTCAACAAATTATTAGGTTTAAATTGTCTATGATTAAGGATTACTTTTTTTTTTTTTTTAAATGCATCACTTGAGATTTTACACAATTCATTTGTTACCTTTGACTTAATTTTTTTAACTACTACGGAGTATAAAATTTGAGTGTGAGGGATAACTCACGTGGTTAGAGTTCCCCTCCCGATTTCAGGTGATACTACGGAGTATAAAATTTACAAACATATTAAGGTAATATATTGTTGTATTTATTACAATGTCTAAATTCATAAACAATTAATCTTGAAGAACATATTTTTTTTGAGCGAGCTTCATAATTATGCGACACATTCTTTATTAACAACTTAACGCTAAATCGCCGCTAATAGGGATTTTAGACCCCAACCATAACAACAAGCTTCGATCATACACCAACCACACGAACCGCACTTCACTTCCTACAGTTCAACAAGTGGACAGCTACCGTAAACCACAACTTCACCACCAAAACACAAAAACGAACAACAATTCTGAAAAAAAAAACTTGCACTGGTACTCAACAACCTTGTTTTTTCTGTCATATACTTTTGTTTTGCCTAAAAATTTCTTCACCACATTACAAACTCGATCAAATGTCGTCTGCAACTGCGAATCCATCGCTCTCTTCTCCTGCAGTTTCTCACTCCTCTTTCCCTTCCTATTACTCTCTTTCTCGCCGCCAATTTTCTCTCTCCTTTACACCATCGTTTTCATCGAAGAATTTCAGTGGAGGTCTCAAATTGGTCTCACTTTGTTGTCGATCTCCTAATTTTAATTCCACTTCTACTGTTTCTGCCATGTCCAATTCTTCGCCTTCGCCTTTGTCCGCCATTGATTTTCTTACATTGTGTCATCGCCTTAAGGTACTGGGTTCTTCGTTTTTTTTTTTTTTGTTTTTTTTTGGGGTGAAATTAGGTGTTCTAGATTATACTTAAGGTCCATTTGGTAGGTGGGAATGAATTTAATTATATCTTCGCAACGATTTTAGTGTGACACTAGATATTTATTACCTCTACCAAATGTGCTATAAAGGGTGATGAAATGGGGAGTTATTTGATGGGGATTTGGACAAGAGTTGATAGAATTTGACTGCAAATTACAAGTATTATTTATGTTTGTGTTGGTGTGTGTAATGTTGGGGCTTGGTGGACTATAATGTTGGTGTTGAGTGTTGAATATGATTGGTTTCAAAGACTAATTTAATTTGACATTTGGAAGAGGATTCTGTGATGCTTCATCTCAATGTGGGTGAATTTGATTTTCTGAGGCTTGGGCTGAAGTTGCTGTGGGTTTATGGAAGTGTTGCATGATCATCAAATGGGTTCTTTTTGTAGAATTTTGATCATATGTGTGTTTTATTGTGTTGGGTAGTGGACTACTGGATATGAGTTTCCCCATGCATTTGCTTTTCATTTTTTCAACTTACAAAAATACTTCTTGTTTGTGAATTTTGTGTCCTTACATCTGTATAAATGGGGACACCGCCCGGGAGGGGTGGGGGGAGGGGGAGGGGAGGAGGAGGTTGGATTGGGTTAGGATTTAGAGGTTGTTGCTATTTAACAATAAACAATGTAAGTGAAAGCTGAGGCTTTGTAGACATTGTGGTTGCAATGACTTATGCTTGCAAAGCGGGTTTTAAGATGTGTTGGTCGAGACTTGAGAGTGATTGCTAAATTGCTTAGAGCTAATAGGCATGAGCAGCATGACTATGATGAAGGTATCAGACTCTCAGAAAGAGCAATTGTGCAAATCATTGTCCAATATGTTTTAGCTTTAGTTGGAAGTTTCAATATGTTCATGTGTATATGGTGGGGAGTTGGATAGCACATCATCTTGCAAAACTTGCCTCCACTTATAGATAGGATAGAGTTGGGTTGGAGCCGTAGTGGAATGCCCCTCGATTCTATGTCTTCTGTAATTCTGTGTTGCTGGACCAAATTTCAGTTAAGGGAAATGAAGCTGAGATTTGTCTTGTGAAAGAATAAAGGAAAATAATAAATTTATGGGGGGATGAGAATGCTAAAATCGCTCAGCTTTACCCTCTTAAGATGTTATTTTTTGCCTTACCTCCTTTCATTACTTCCATCTTTCTCTAGGATCTACTTTTCAGTTTTCATCTTATGCTTAACTCTTGCTTTAAGATATACTACAATGCCAAACTCACCATTTTACTTAGAGGTTCTCTGCTACTCTCAACTCTAATCAAGATTTAGGTTACATTTTTTTTTAGTAATGACATGCATTAATGTGTTATTACTTTGGTTCTGTACGATGTATTTCATGTTATTAGACCAACTTGAGTATAATAACTTTGTAATTTGAGAACTTTGTAACTGGACAAGATGGAGTATATCTTGTTTTTCATTCAACCGTTCTGTTATATATCTGCCTGTGAACTTATCTTGCCAGACCACAAAAAGGAAGGGATGGATTAATCATCGGATAAAGGGCCCTGAATCCATTGCTGATCATATGTATCGAATGGCGTTGATGGGTTTGATTGCTGGGGACATTCCGGGTGTGAACAGGGAGAGGTTGGATGTTAACCAATTATGCTTGTTTTGGACATATCGGTATTTCCTTTGCTGATGAGCTGTATTATATTCTTTTGACAATGCTTTGCACAGATGTATCAAGATGGCAGTAGTTCATGATATTGCTGAAGGTATACTCTTTTTTTTTTTATATATATATCTTATAATCTCATGGTATTTTAAGTTGTTGGTATTCTTTGTGACAAGAATCAGCTTGCCTATATTGTTTATTTCTTCACTGCATTAGGACTCTTTGGCTTTTGTATAAGCCAAAATAGTGTAATTATCACATATTCATCTGTTACAAACTAAATATCAATTTGGGTTTTTGAAGTCGCTAGAATTTGACTACTTAGGAATAGTATCTACTTAATCCTTGTGGTGCCTTCTTAGGTGAAAGATAGTTTTTTAGTTTTATGCTAATATGCAGCATTGAAAGATTAATGTCAGGTTCATATTTGTTTATGCACCACTAATCCTACGTTATCCTATTATCTTGTTTGTGCTAGATTTTCAAATCACTGTGGATTATGAGTGAACATCGTTTGTATCTTCACATTATTGCACTGTGTTGAGTTCTATTTTTCCTACATTGCTGATTTCTGACTCTTGTCATTATCCTCTTGATGACCTTGGAATACTACTAGCTATTGTTGGAGATATAACACCCTCTGATGGCATACCAAAAGAAGAAAAGAGCAGAATGGAGCAGGAAGCATTGAATGAAATGTGTGAAGTTCTTGGTGGTGGGATGAGAGGTTGGCAATAGCTGCCTTCTTTAATATTTTGCATACCTTTTTTGTAAGTATGGAATCTTGCTCATATTTTCTTGTGATTGCAGCTGACGAGATCAAAGAACTCTGGACTGAGTATGAAAATAATTCTTCTTTGGAAGCTAATCTGGTGAAGGATTTTGATAAAGTATGTTACTTCTAGCATATTCAGTATTTTATACGTTGTAACTTGAATGACACATATTCAACGTGATATGGATTCCTTTTAATGCCTTTGTGTTGTATGTATTATATATGCCTTTGCAATTTTAGCATTTTATGTGGACATTCTTGTTGACTTAGCTTTCACAGGGCTTTGAAAGACACATACAAAAGCCCAGGAAAAAAAATATGGTTGCTGGCATAATTTTTTTAGTTATAATAATCATGTACTGTATCTGCTTTTTATTAAATCAGAATTCTGGATTCCATTTACCTGTTTTCCAACTTATTGGTCTACCAATTTTCTAATAAGTTATGACTTCTATCCAGGTCGAAATGATTCTTCAGGCGTTAGAGTATGAAACTGGTAAGGCTTATACTTAAATGCTGAATAGTAAAAACTTGCTATTTTGACAATTAATTTCATGTATTAACTCTGTCACCACCCTTTATTCTCTACTACTCATTGTTAAATGCTCATTTTTACTTGGTTCGGTGGTGGCTAACTGGCTACTGGCCTGGCTCTTCTATTCTGGACAATGGCTCTTACACTACTTATAGTGTGGTATCACAATCGTTGTTCAGGTTGTAATTAAGCACTGCTTTTTAAATTTTTAATAAATATGGTGTTAAGATTTTAACTTCTGGTGTTTTTCTAAACCTCTTCTGCATTTCAATCATAGCTTCATATTGTGCTCTCCTGGTTTTCATTTGAAATTGAATTGACAGGCATTCACACCTTGACTCATTTGCAAAAAGCTTTCAAGAGAGGCTATGCTGTTCGGTTATCTGTTGATATCTATGATCATGGATATCCTTCCCCTCACTGAAATTTGTCTCTTTCTTCCCTTGAACATTAGAGTATCTTTTTTGGTATTTATATGCAACATGTCTAAGTTCTAACTAAAAAATAAGTTTCTGTGACATCCCTCTTTCACAAATGAAAGTTAAGAGGCGAGTAATAAATGACACCTCCTTATTCCTTGCATGTAACAAGGGATTGAATTAAGGGGTTTATCTGATGATTTCAAGGGCACAGTGGGATTCAATTAGAGACTTATTGAATGAGTGTTGGGAAGGTGAAGATGTTGGTTGATTGGGGGATTTGATCAGAGGAAGAAAAAGAAGGGAGGTAAGGAAGGAATCATTACTCTAGACAGAGAAAGAGGATTAGTCTTCTGTGGAATGCTTATTACTTTCTCTAATGTATTCCAGCCATAATAAATACTCTCCTGTTATAACTTTCTTGATAGATTTTACTCCCTAGTCAAGAATCGTAAGGGATGGAGGAGGAAGATTTTGGTCCATGACTACACGGAATAATCAAATTTGGTTCATGTAGCCGACCCTACTTATGGGATTAACACTTTGTTTGGATAGGAAGAAATGGAAGGAAAAGAAGAGAAGAGAAATGGAGGGTGACAAAATCTCTTGTTTGGGTAAAAGATTGGGGGAAGGGAGGGGAAGGAGAGGGAGGGATCCATTTTCCCTCTCTCTTTAATAACCATAATCTCTCCAAAATTGGAGAGATTTGGAGGGAAAATGGAGCTCACCTCCCCCTCCCTTTCTTTTCCCTTCCCTTCCTCCATTTTCCCTCCCCTTCTTTTCCTTCCTTTTTTGCTATCCAAACAAAGCGTAAGGCTTTGATTGATTGATTTACTCCCTAGTTGACTCCCATCTTCTCTAGTGTGGCCTTCAATTAACTTAATTTAAGATAGAATCAACTTTATTTTTGACAAAAGAACAGGTGTTATTGATGTTTGTTGCACCCCTTCCCCCTTCCAATTGATACCATTCATATATCTTTAGTTCTGAACCAACATGTTCGTACCGGCTCACATCTCTTGAGACTTTAATAATGTTTTTCAGTCGTGTTGTCGTTCCTAGCAGGCATCACGTGTAGTGCCATGGGCATATTTACTGATGATTATGTTTTCTCTTGGCATCCCTCTTGGGCTCTTGGCAATTATGAATAATAAAGAACTATTTGATTTTATTTCAACCCACGTGACCATGCCCAGTCTTTCCTATGTGAGATTAATCACTACTAAGAAATGCTTTTGGATTAGATATTGTGGGATTTACGTGTCAGCATTCTATCATGTTTCTGCTTCCTCTCCTGTCATAGAATCAAGCATCCTTGACAGCATGTGCTGCCTGCCTGCAGTGAAGAATATGAAATGTTTGACTGTATAGCAATGCATCTTGACACACTAAGCTGTAAGATTGGTGCTTGACCTACTTGTGGCTGCTAAATTACTTGGGCCGTAGCTTTGGACAAAATGGATGTGGCTCCTGACGTGATGGTGCTGCATTGATCTTTTAAGAGACCTGTACATTATTGTAATTAAATTTGCTTTCTAATTTAGACAAGCACAAGCATATTTTAATAGTGTCAATGTTTGCTCATGGGAACACATTTAAATTTACCAATGCAGTAAGGGTTTGTATAATCCGGGGGCCAGGGTTTACATGGTTACTTGCATTGTGGCTTAATATCATGTTTTCGTACCTGTTTGATTTTTAGCACAAATATGGAGATTTTAATTTGGCTGCATTGAGGTCTGATGTTTGCTTTCTTATTTATTTGACAGAGCATGGGATGGTTCTTGACGAGTTCTTCTTGTCAACAGCTGGTGAGCTCGGCTTTCTGTCATGAAATGTTGTACTCTAACCTTTTGCTCCATAACCTCATATTGCTGATATCCAATGTTACTTTATACAATTTTCAGGAAAGTTTCAGACTGAATTAGGAAAAAGCTGGGCTGCTGAGGTTATATCTAGAAGGAAATCCACCTTGGCTAGTAAAGGAAAATAAGCAGCAAACTAACCGTAGTCTTGATCTTTACTGAAGGAGCTGATGGCTACTCAAAAACTGGAGTAGCTTCATCGTGATTGATCAGTCCAGCGAATTGATGGTTTTACACCGTTGCTCGTAATTTTGTATGCTGATTACATATAAGCAGGCATTTGTGGTACTTTTTTATGCAGATTGAGGCGTATAGGGGTTTAGCTCGTAGTTCACCCAGATTCTATAGTTTTTACTCCTAAGATCAGAAAATGTTTCCCGTGTTTCATGCTCGCTTAACGATTAGCATAATAAATCGACGTTTTTGCACCATGATTAACAATGATGATCGTGACCAATTTTTGCTGATTTATTGTCTTGTATTGAAGTGTATAAAGTCTGTCTTCTTTAAGTCCCTTCCAGTCTTCCACAGTTGAACCACCCAAAGTAACTTTTTTTTCAGAGCTAATATATGGAAACATAAGTGAAATTCTTAAGCTTTACCCCAATTGATGTGTGTTTTTTTTCGTGCATTCTCAAATTAATTCAATGTCAAGTGAAATGCTTATATGTAACCCTTAAGGTTGTACTTTTTTTTTTTTTTTGAAAGAAACAGGAGCGGGATTATATTAAATCAAGTTCCGCCAAAGTTGTGAGGCTTTGGGGAAAAGGTCCAAAACAAACAAACTCATCACAACCTCTAGTGTCCCATCTAGCAACTAAATGAGCTAGAGTATTCCCCGTCCGTTTTACATGAGAACAATAAAAGAAATCAAAAGACAAAGACTTAGTAACAATATCATCTAGTATAAGGAAGAAGGGAGTACATGTGTCAAAGCATATAATAGATGCATAATATCTGCAACTCATGAGCATCTTGCAGCCTTTCACTAACTTTCTCCCTTTCAGGCTCAGCAAATAAGCTTATCAATTGCCCAGAATCTCTTACAACATCCATTGAAATTTTATCGAAATACATCTATAAAAATGCAAAAAGGGTGATTAGTGGTCCACATATTTACTACGGGGCACTTAAATTACATGCTTAACTGAACATTAACAAGAAATACAAGAGGGCCCAGGATATGAAACAAAGAATGGGCTTTGTAACATGTTACTAAAGTTAACCACTAGGTCCAATTTTTTTTTTTTTTTTTTTTTTTTTTTTTTTTTTTTTTTTTGGTTGTTGGTGGTACATAATGTGGTGATCGGGGCTGCACTTGATAGGGAGAAAGTGTTCGATCTCTTGCAACAACAATGAGAGGGGACTGAAATTTAACCATCTAAAATTGAGCCTCAAATCCAAATTAACCTAAATGATGAATCGGGTGAAACACCAAAAAAAAATATATTAATTAATTTATTTATCTGTAGTATCTATAGTATTATATAAAGAGAAAGGACATCTTGGTTGATAAATTTGACTTTTCCCAAAATGTCGTCAATCTATTATTTTCTTTTTAAAAAACTACCATCTTTTTTTAAATAAATGATAACCACCTTCTTTATAAAATAAATAAATAAATAAATAAACACCATCCTTATTTTCTTTATTTCTTTTCTTTTTGAGGGTAGTCATATTTTGTACTGTTAGCTCCATGACTTTGGATCTGTTCACATTTACTGAACTGAGCTGAACTAAACTGAACTGAAATGAATATTTTATGAGAGAAGAAAATTAGGAGTTGAATTGAACTTAACTGATTGGAGCTGAACTGAACTGAACTGAACCGAACTGATTGAAGCTGAACTGAAATTAAGCTGAAGTGAACAGGCCCTTCATCAATCTTTTAACCCGCTATTTTTTTTTATTTATTTACTAGAGTAAAGTACAAAAAGGAGAATCAAGCCGTTTCTTACACTGCACACACATTGTACGTGTGTCTCCTAGCTTGTCTATTTAGCTATAAAACGTATAGAAGATACTACTCCCTCCGTTTTTAAATACTTGCTCCATTTATCCTGGACACGCATGTCAATGCTAATTTTTTTATTACTAATATCATTATCAATTAGTATAAATTCTAACAATTGAAAATTAATAATCTATTCATTGAGATGATTTCAACAAGTACCTACAAGACTATATTTTTTCTTATGTATAAATTACAAACATTAGTTAAAGTAGGAGAAATAAATAGTACAAAAAATAGAAATTGAGCAAGTATTTAAAAATGAAGGGAGTACCTATTTAGGGTACCCATTCAATCATAAAATGAAAAGGGTTATTAATCGATTACAAAATGTTGACTTGGCACATCACCATTGAATTGGAAAAAGTTTCATTCCCGCGGTCCTGGACATGCATGCAAATAACTTGGATATGAAGTATTGAAATTGAATATTTGACTAACATTTTTTTGTTTTTAAGTCACTTCAAATAATATGGCTTTATTTAGACCATAATAAAAGTGAAGTTTATGTTACTCAAAATTAAACTAAAACGACTTTCTTTATTTCATTCATTTAAATAGAGAACTAGAATAGAATTGATTTATTAAGTGAAAACATAATCAAACAATCTCAGTGACTGGCATATTGTAATACATATTGTGATGAGCTTATTATATCCCTTAATCAATGTTCTAATATATGTGATTATCCAAATCAAACAATTCAAGTTGCACCTATTACATAAAACTTTGAATAGCAACAAGGCCAATAATGTGATAAATGACATTTCCTTTAAAAGTTTACATGATTAGACGTTAATTGTCTCATAAAAATAAATTTAAAGACTTAAGTAAAACTAAAAGAACTTATAGAGATAAAGAGAGTACAGTAGAATTGCAAATTGAGCTTGGTTAGTTTAATCATCACAAGAAACACAAAAATAAAGGAAAAGGGAAATAGGAAAGTGCAATGTAATCCTCATGCAAGCAAGTACTACACATAGAGTTATTTAAGTCGTGGACAAAACACATGCAAGTAATGCAAGATCCTCTCTCTACTTCCAAGGAGTTAACGTTGACTTGAAAAGTCTTACCTCAACCCCAACTAACGTTACATCTTAGAATAATACTACTAGTTGAAAGAATCAAATAATAATTTATTACAAATTATAAATACAGGTGTGAAACATTGACTCTAATTAGCTTTAAAGATGCCTGAAAAACAGGTTTTGTACGACTTTGTTAGTTGCTAGAATACAATATACTGTAGAGATTGATCGAACATTAATAATGCTTGTAATCAAGGTTGTAAGCTTTCGAGGTCATTTATACATACATGTCTCAGTAACTCGATCCGAGTTACTGTATAATTGCCTGAAAGATGTACTAGATGGCACTAAAATAGATGTAATGCGTGTAAGTCACCCAACAAGAATGTCATACATGTATATGTCATACATGTATTGCAATTGGGGCTTGCGCACATCATTCATTGACGTGTGCTAGCCAAGCCATTATGTATGGTAGACTGATTGTATCATCGTAAGAGCTACTTTTATGTTAGAAACTTCGCTTCTTTGTTTCTACTAAAAGTTATTTCATTTTACTTTATAAATAAATGTATATGAAAAAATTAATATTTGTTTAATTCTTAGCTTTTTTGATGTCAACTTTCTGTTATATACACACACGCAATTCTCCTTATCAAGTACTACCCTATTCAAGTGCATCCCCAATAATAGTAATGATTATAAAGTATATATATACCACTCCTGGCCTGTATGATAGTAATATGTGATTATAAAAATATACTTCGTATGTAATAATACTAATGTAAAGAATATGTTCGGGTGTTCAAATCAAGTTTAATTTGATTCAATTGGTGTATTAAATTTTGACTTTATGAGACGATAAATTAGACTTTAAATTATAGAGGGATCTCGATATCCAAGTGTAAGAAATTTCAAGGGTATTTTGAAAATACGAGGATCAAAAGTAACCGAGCATGACTTTGGACATGATAAAATTGTTCACGGCTCTAATAACCTCTTAGGCTCTTAAGATGTCAATATATACGTAGTACAATGATGGAATAGGCTTTACTAGGGTAGGGGGGCCAAAACTAAGCAAGTAACTGCTCAAGATTGCCGCAACTTTAGGAGTATCATAGAAATTAGAATAAACAAATAGTACTTGTCATTGTTGAGCGTAAACGCAAAGCATTTTGTGTAGCACTATGGTTTGATGAGTAGTAGGAGCAAGCGTCGTTTACATGGCCTAGCTGTATCAAAATTGGTGCACCAAATTTGGGCCTAAACTATATATTATAATTTTTATACGTCTAATAAAGATGCACCAAAAAACGACATAATAAGGTGCGTAACCATTTGCTGAATATGATGTGTATAATATAGTATAATATAATAGTTTTATAGTCAACATATCTCATGATTGGGGTTCGTGGGTTTGTGTAATCAAAGTTAAAATTGGTAGAATTGTATGATTTTATTAATATGAAAATGTGAAAGATACTAACATGTGTTAGCCTGAGATCTTGCTACATTAGTGTGGGACAAAGATGTGTAGGTCCATTTTCTTGGTAGTGCTACTTAGAATGTGTCATCAACTCATTTTAGTATGTTTAGACTTTAGTATCTTCCACCGACATTGATCTTTAAGTGTGCGCCTCTTACATTTTTCTGCACTTTGGGTACTGTTTCGGGTGAAAACAATGGGACCTTGCCGAAGGTCCAAGGTAGTGGATGAAGACTGGGCTCGGTCCAAATGATGTTGGGTCGAGGGTTTCCTGCACAGCAGACACACGTAAACTAGCCTCGGGGGGTTGCCGAGGAAGGCCCCTCCGATGCTAAAGTCAGTACAATGTGTAGAGAGAGAAAGTTATGCAAGAGAATTAATTGCTTGAGGCTTTGTGTATATCTTACAAATGTGATATTGATGGCTTTTATACCTTTGCACATATGGGAGAAGTGGGCCTTGGCCCAATTGACTTGCTCTGTGGACTAACCTTGACTTTAGCACAATTGGAGAGTTGAACCTTGACCTTGGGCTTTTAATTGGATCATTTGATGACTTGGCCTAATTGGATTAAATTGGACCCAAACAACTTGCCCCCCAGACCCGACTTGGAAGTATGACGGATCGGGTTTGATTAATCAGAAAATGGAGGGAAGTAAATGATTTAATTAACCCAAAAAATTTGAATTTAAACCGCAATTAATGAAATAACGGCGACTGGATGGATAATTATGGAAGTTGGACGGATAATGGGAGGTTAATCGTGGGAACGTGTGTTTAACGGTTACTTAGTGGGGTGTTTAAGAGAAATTAAAGCGCGGACTCCCAGAATTCCCATTTCTGGAGATATAATCAAAGAGGCACCTCATCTCTCCTAACTTCTTCACCGACACAAACCCAAAATTCTTGAGAAACCCAA